TTGCTCAAACTGACAAAGCAATTTGTGCGAACGCTCTTAAATCAATAAAACATGACAAAAAATTTGTTTAACATGATTTCAAAGAAACAGTGAATTTTTGAAGTAACCTAGTGCAAAAGTAGCTACTATTTAACATTTTCGACTACAAATCTGCCAGAACTTTACAGAAATTGCTCAAACTGACAAAGCAATTTGTGCGAACGCTCTTAAATCAATAAAACATGACAAAAAATTTGTTTAACATGATTTCAAAGAAACAGTGAATTTATGAAGCAACCGACTGCAAAAGTAGCTACTATTTAACATTTTTGACTATAAATCTGCTAGAACTTTACAGAAATTGCTCAAACTGACAAAGCAATTTGTGCGAACGCTCTTAAATCAATAAAACATGACAAAAAATTTGTTTAACATGATTTCAAAGAAACAGTGAATTTATGAAGCAACCGACTGCAAAAGTAGCTACTATTTAACATTTTTGACTATAAATCTGCTAGAACTTCACAAAAATTGCTCAAACTGACAAAGCAATTTGTGCGAACGCTCTTAAATCAATAAAACATGACAAAAAATTTGTTTAACATGATTTCAAAGAAACAGTGAATTTTTGAAGTAACCTAGTGCAAAAGTAGCTACTATTTAACATTTTCGACTACAAATCTGCCAGAACTTCACAGAAATTGCTCAAACTGACGAAGCAATTTGTGCGAATGCTCTTGAATCAATAAAAAATGACAAAAAATTTGTTTAACATGATTTCAAAGAAACAGTGAATTTATGATGCAACCTTGTGCAAAAGTAGCTACTATTTAACATTTTCGACTACAAATCTGCCAGAACTTTACAGAAATTGCTCAAACTGACAAAGCAATTTGTGCGAACGCTCTTAAATCAATAAAACATGACAAAAAATTTGTTTAACATGATTTCAAAGAAACAGTGAATTTTTGAAGTAACCTAGTGCAAAAGTAGCTACTATTTAACATTTTCGACTACAAATCTGCCAGAACTTTACAGAAATTGCTCAAACTGACAAAGCAATTTGTGCGAACGCTCTTAAATCAATAAAACATGACAAACAATTTTATTAACATGATTTCAAAGAAACAGTGAATTTATGAAGCAACCGAGTGCAAAAGTAGCTACTATTTAACATTTTCGACTATAAATCTGCCAGAACTTTACAGAAATTGCTTAAACTGACAAAGCAATTTGTGCGAACGCTCTTAAATCAATAAAAAATGACAAAAAATTTGTTTAACATGATTTCAAAGAAACAGTGAATTTATGATGCAACCTTGTGCAAAAGTAGCTACTATTTAACATTTTCGACTCCAAATCTACCAGAACTTTACAGAAATTGCTCAAACTGACAAAGCAATTTGTGCGAACGCTCTTAAATCAATAAAACATGACAAAAAATTTGTTTAACATGATTTCAAAGAAACAGTGAATTCTTGAAGTAACCTTGTGCAAAAGTAGCTACTATTTAACATTTTTGACTACAAATCTGCCAGAACTTTACAGAAATTGCTCAAACTGACATAGCAATTTGTGCGAACGCTCTTGAATCAATAAAACATGACAAAAAATTTGTTTAACATGATTTCAAAGAAACAGTGAATTTTTGAAGTAACCTTGTGCAAAAGTAGCTACTATTTAACATTTTCGACTATAAATCTGCCAGAACTTTACAGAAATTGCTTAAACTGACAAAGCAATTTGTGCGAACGCTCTTAAATCAATAAAAAATGACAAAAAATTTGTTTAACATGATTTCAAAGAAACAGTGAATTTATGATGCAACCTTGTGCAAAAGTAGCTACTATTTAACATTTTCGACTCCAAATCTACCAGAACTTTACAGAAATTGCTCAAACTGAGAAAACAATTTGTGCGAACGCTCTTAAATCAATAAAACATGAGAAAAAAATTGTTTAACATGATTTCAAAGTAACAGTGAATTTTTGAAGTAACCTTGTGCAAAAGTAGCTACTATTTAACATTTTTGACTACAAATCTGCCAGAACTTTACAGAAATTGCTCAAACTGACATAGCAATTTGTGCGAACGCTCTTGAATCAATAAAACATGACAAAAAATTTGTTTAACATGATTTCAAAGAAACAGTGAATTTTTGAAGTAACCTTGTGCAAAAGTAGCTACTATTTAACATTTTCGACTATAAATCTGCCAGAACTTTACAGAAATTGCTTAAACTGACAAAGCAATTTGTGCGAACGCTCTTAAATCAATAAAAAATGACAAAAAATTTGTTTAACATGATTTCAAAGAAACAGTGAATTCTTGAAGTAACCTTGTGCAAAAGTAGCTACTATTTAACATTTTCGACTACAAATCTGCCAGAACTTTACAGAAATTGCTCAAACTGACAAAGCAATTTGTGCGAACGCTCTTAAATCAATAAAACATGACAAAAAATTTGTTTAACATGATTTCAAAGAAACAGTGAATTTTTGAAGTAACCTAGTGCAAAAGTAGCTACTATTTAACATTTTCGACTACAAATCTGCCAGAACTTTACAGAAATTGCTCAAACTGACAAAGCAATTTGTGCGAACGCTCTTAAATCAATAAAACATGACAAAAAATTTGTTTAACATGATTTCAAAGTAACAGTGAATTTTTGAAGTAACCTTGTGCAAAAGTAGCTACTATTTAACATTTTCGACTACAAATCTGCCAGAACTTTACAGAAATTGCTCAAACTGACAAAGCAATTTGTGCGAACGCTCTTAAATCAATAAAACATGACAAAAAATTTGTTTAACATGATTTCAAAGAAACAGTGAATTTTTGAAGTAACCTAGTGCAAAAGTAGCTACTATTTAACATTTTCGACTACAAATCTGCCAGAACTTTACAGAAATTGCTCAAACTGACAAAGCAATTTGTGCGAACGCTCTTAAATCAATAAAACATGACAAAAAATTTGTTTAACATGATTTCAAAGAAACAGTGAATTTATGATGCAACCTTGTGCAAAAGTAGCTACTATTTAACATTTTCGACTATAAATCTGCCAGAACTTTACAGAAATTGCTCAAACTGACAAAGCAATTTGTGCGAACGCTCTTAAATCAATAAAACATGACAAAAAATTTGTTTAACATGATTTCAAAGAAACAGTGAATTTATGATGCAACCTTGTGCAAAAGTAGCTACTATTTAACATTTTCGACTACAAATCTGCCAGAACTTTACAGAAATTGCTCAAACTGACAAAGCAATTTGTGCGAACGCTCTTAAATCAATAAAACATGACAAAAAATTTGTTTAACATGATTTCAAAGAAACAGTGAATTTTTGAAGTAACCTTGTGCAAAAGTAGCTACTATTTAACATTTTCGACTACAAATCTGCCAGAACTTTACAGAAATTGCTCAAACTGACAAAGCAATTTGTGCGAACGCTCTTAAATCAATAAAACATGACAAAAAATTTGTTTAACATGATTTCAAAGAAACAGTGAATTTTTGAAGTAACCTAGTGCAAAAGTAGCTACTATTTAACATTTTCGACTACAAATCTGCCAGAACTTTACAGAAATTGCTCAAACTGACAAAGCAATTTGTGCGAATGCTCTTAAATCAATAAAAAATGACAAAAAATTTGTTTAACATGATTTCAAAGTAACAGTGAATTTTTGAAGTAACCTTGTGCAAAAGTAGCTACTATTTAACATTTTCGACTATAAATCTGCCAGAACTTTACAGAAATTGCTCAAACTGACAAAGCAATTTGTGCGAACGCTCTTAAATCAATAAAACATGACAAAAAATTTGTTTAACATGATTTCAAAGAAACAGTGAATTTATGATGCAACCTTGTGCAAAAGTAGCTACTATTTAACATTTTCGACTATAAATCTGCCAGAACTTTACAGAAATTGCTCAAACTGACAAAGCAATTTGTGCGAACGCTCTTAAATCAATAAAACATGACAAAAAATGTGTTTAACATGATTTCAAAGAAACAGTGAATTTATGATGCAACCTTGTGCAAAAGTAGCTACTATTTAACATTTTCGACTACAAATCTGCCAGAACTTTACAGAAATTGCTCAAACTGACAAAGCAATTTGTGCGAACGGTCTTAAATCAATAAAACATGACAAAAAATTTGTTTAACATGATTTCAAAGAAACAGTGAATTTATGATGCAACCTTGTGCAAAAGTAGCTACTATTTAACATTTTCGACTACAAATCTGCCAGAACTTTACAGAAATTGCTCAAACTGACAAAGCAATTTGTGCGAACGCTCTTAAATCAATAAAACATGACAAAAAATTTGTTTAACATGATTTCAAAGAAACAGTGAATTTATGATGCAACCTTGTGCAAAAGTAGCTACTATTTAACATTTTCGACTACAGATCTGCCAGAACTTTACAGAAATTGCTCAAACTGACAAAGCAATTTGTGCGAACGCTCTTAAATCAATAAAACATGACAAAAAATTTGTTTAACATGATTTCAAAGAAACAGTGAATTTATGATGCAACCTTGTGCAAAAGTAGCTACTATTTAACATTTTCGACTACAGATCTGCCAGAACTTTACAGAAATTGCTCAAACTGACAAAGCAATTTGTGCGAACGCTCTTAAATCAATAAAAAATGACAAAAAATTTGTTTAACATGATTTCAAAGAAACAGTGAATTTATGATGCAACCTTGTGCAAAAGTAGCTACTATTTAACATTTTCGACTACAAATCTGCCAGAACTTTACAGAAATTGCTCAAACTGACAAAGCAATTTGTGCAAACGCTCTTAAATCAATAAAACATGATGTTTTGTTAGTGGGGCTGTATATTAGCCCTTTTTGAATTTTTGTCAACGCTCACCTCTACTTGAGTCTGTGGAATTAAGGATCCCTATGAGTGGCAAGGAATATATTTATGTCTGTGGAACAAAATGGCGATCTCTACAGGCAAAGACCTCTTTATCCTCTATCCAACTGGATTCAAATCTATTTTAAATTTTATTCACATTAATGACTTCTTTATCTTCACTATTTAATTTACTTACAATATTTTTGGCAAGCACTAACTTATTTAAAATATCTATTTTATTATAATTATTTGTGTGACCTTTTTTGCTGACCGTACTCAACTGACCCTCGGGTTTTTGAAGTCTCTTCAATATGGCTAAGATTCCGCCAATTTTTTCGGTCCAACGAATTGAAGTTGACTGTTGATTCTTCCTATTCAAATCTCTAGTGACTGTTATCTGTGAAATTAAATTCCTTCGCTTTTTACGCGACACTCCGGACAAACAGAAATTCTTATCTTATAGATCACAATTTTAAACGTATTATTCTTTTTCAAATATTTCACTCTACTTTTGTAGACTTTATTTCTCATACATTTCGAATTTGTAGAGTACGTTGCAGTGAGGTCTCAGTGTGAAGTTACATATTATTTAATGGAGAGCATGGATTGGAAATTTAAATTTAATTCATTTTATTGAAGAGTTTTGGGTCTTAATTCTGCGTTGAAAAAGGCAAAACATCACTAAGATAAGTATAATTAATTCGTTCCTGTCTGAAATATCCAATCTGTGACGAAACATATTTTTTTTTTTTTTTTTTTTTCAGTTTTGTTCGATGCAGCTTTTTTCCAATTCTTTGCGTTGATCATCATTTTTCATAGAACTTATGTTCTTTTTTGGATCTAAACGGTGAAAAGTTCCAATTATCTCAATTTAACTCTTCTGAGTTTTCATAATTCTTTTATCGTTTTAGCTAAAGTTCATTATGTTGCCGTAAATTATTTCTGGATTTTCGTTTGCTTATGCTTATCATCTATCAGGATGTATAATTCATTTAAAGAGCAGATGCGTGACTGATTTAATCTGATAGATCGATTTCTTCGTTGAGCATCAATATATCATTGTCGAGTTGCTGTTCTTTATCGGAACTGGTGAGTGTAAAGTGGATTGTATCCTGTATCTTGAACTTCTTCAAGAAGTCTCTCATTTTTATCGATCCTATCTTGATGATGGTTTTCTTACTATCATGAGCAATCGGCTCTTTCGAAATGTTTAGCGCTAGCGTCTCCTGTTGACTATTATTTGATGTTGTAGGGATATCTTGACTCACTGCTTGACTTTCGGTTCTTTTTGGCAGATTTATTTCTTCGTTATTTTCGTAACACAGACACATATAGCTTCTAGAATATTTTACTTCATAATTACTTATCGTTAATTCTTCGATAGCTCTGGCTGCATAGGTAGGAGTTTTAAATTTGATAAAAGTTAGTTCCTTCGCTTGCACGCATGATTCTATCGGTTGTTCATTCTCTCTTGGTCTAGTTAATCTTTTATCTAAATTCTTGAGAATGTCTACGATCGCTTCGTATTTTCTGGTCTTGACTTTAATCTCTCTGGTGCTAAATCTCAAATTGACGTTTGTCATCATCGATAAACTCCAATAATTCTTTCCCGGAAAGATAACTTCTATTTTGCTATTTAATAAGTAAAGGACTAGTTTCCCTTCTTCTTGATTGCATGCTCTTTTGAGCTTATTTATACTGTTAATTTGAAAGAAATATAGATACCAATAGTGCAGTTGTATAGATCCTTTAGTGTCTGTGTCTATATATATTCCAGCTAAGTCTTTGGCTGCCATATAGGAGTAATTCATTAATTTTGTTATTTCTATCCATAACTGCCTCATCGAAACATATTTCGGAACGTTATTTAATTTAACTAGCAACTTCTCTGAATTCATTTTACAATCTGTAATGTGTAGATAATATATAGAACTTGTGTTCGGATTTATAATTGCACCTTAAGTTCTAGAGAGGCTACTTGTGTAGCTGGTCTGGTGATAATCGAGAACTTCTCGTTTATATAGGTTTTCTTTAATTTCGCATTAGATTTGTTCGCGTTTTTGTCAATTGAATTTCTCTTGCCTAATCTAACCGTTATTTTTCTTATCTGATCTTTTGACCCTTCGTGAATGTCTATTATCGTGCCAATCCGCCATAAATTATGAACTGTAGGGTCTGCTGTTACTACAATATCTCCTATCTCTAACTTCTTTGATTTACTGAACCATTTTTCTCTGTGCAATAATTCGTTAATGTAGTATTTTTGAAAGTGACCCCATAATGACCCTATGAATTCCTTAACTTCTTCCCACGTTTCAACAAGACTACCTTTATAAGTCGTACATGAGGGATTAATTTGATAATTCGGCCGCAACATGAGAAAGTGATTAGGTGTAAGATATTTGTCTTTCGTGCCTTCAATTGGTGTCATACAGAGTGGTCTGTTATTTATGTTGCCCTCTATCTCTTTAATCATACAATCAAATGCTTCATCACTGGGTATTATTAAGCGTTTATTTAAAGTCTCATGCATTCCAGCTAAAACTTTTTTTATCATTCCGATCATGCGTTCGACACTTCCATTCATATGACTTGCCTTTGCTGGATTAAAGTCCCACTCTATTGGGTCGTCAATTAACTTTAAATCCAATAATTTATTGTTCCATTCCTCTTGCTTTTGTTCAAGAGTATTACTTCCTCCTGTAAAATTTGTACCATTATCGCTTATTATGCGTTTTGGGGCTCCTCGGGTGTTTATTAAATTTGATAACGCCATTAAGCATGAATCACTATTCATGGTATGGAGAGAATTGAGATAAACAGCGCGAGTGGTAAGACATGAGGCCACGAAAATCCATCTTTTTACAGTCTTTCTGTGGACTTTCACTGAAAATGGTCCACAAGTATCAACGATAATATAGGAGAAGGGATTTTCATGAACAGCTAATCTTGTAGTTGGTAAATCTCCCATCATCGGTTGATCGGTTCTGGCATTTAATCTTTTACACCTGTAGCACAATGATCTTATCGTATTGCTGACAGTCCATTTTATATGCGCTATGAAGTATTTTTGTCTGAGACTTGCGACTACTGAATTTTTAAAAACATGTTTGCTCGATTCGTGATAAAACATAATTATTAATTTAGTAACTCTGTGATCTTTTGGTAGAACTAGCGGACACCTTCTGTCATAATCAAATTTATCGTCATCTTCGGGCAATCGAGTTATTATCCTCATCACTCCTAAGTCGTCTATAAATGGGCTATACTTATAGAGATTGCTTCTGTGTTGAACGTTTCCATTTTTAATTAACTGTGTTACTTCTGACGATAAATCCTCTTCTTGGGCAAACTTAATTAATGCAGATTCTGATACTTTGCGTATCATTAGATGGTTTACTCCTTTTTTATGTTTTTCAATCATTTCCTCTATAGAAGTTTTAATTTTTTCATCTTGTGTCTTATTTAACTTCTTTTGAAGTACTTTTTCTCTTAGCATTGCTTTGAGTTTTAGCAGAATGCCTGTTTTCCTTATCAATTTATTCCAAGAAGACGAAGAATTAATCAGCTTCTTAATTCCATAATTTGTGTCCAAATTCTCTTCATTTTCTACGTGCGCGAGTATTTCTAGTACTTCTTCTTTGTCAGGCTCAATATTCATCCATTCGTTTTCATTAAGTGAGAACACCTTTGGGCAGTACCATTCATTCTCATAATTCATTGACGGAATTGAATCGAATTTTGTGCCAAAGTCAGCTGCCTGTAAATGAGTCGGTATCCAGTTCCATTGATCTTTCAATGATAATTCTTTTATCGTTTTCAATCTGTTTGCCATGTAGATAGTGGCTCTATTCGCATCATGTTTGATCCAAGTCCACACGCACGAGCTATCAGTGAGATAAACGATTTCGTCGAACTTAATAGTATGACTATCCTCTATTTGTTTCTTAAACTTGACACTTCTTGCTGACGCTTCCAATTCGAGTTCAGGAATTGTTCGGTTTTGTTTTAAAGGAACTGTATATGTTTTACTGGCCATAAATCGGTAATCTATTTGTTTTCGATCGTTGCCAAGAAGTCTAATATATGCTGCTGTACAAATCATCTCTTTTCCAGCGTCTCCAAATATAAGGAGCTGCTTTATTACCGCTTTGTCAATGTCTAAAGAGTATGATCTAGGGATTTCTATTTTTGTTATTTCTGGCAACATGCTCAGTATCCTTTCCCAGTAGCTAATATGCTTTTCATTAATAAATTGATTCCATTCGAGTTTATCCTTACATCCCCAATGATACAATAATTTTATTTTAGCCGTATAGTAACCGAAAAAACCTAGTGGATCATAAATTGACATAAGGAATTTAAGCACTTCCTTTTTGCTTGGAACTTTTGCCCCACTTATTAATTTTCTCAACGTTTTATCTGGATTAAAGGAAAGTTTCATAGTGTCGTTGTTATAGTTGATTAAATATCCCAAGAGTTTCTCCTCATCTCCTGTACTAAACACTTTTGTGTTACTTTTGTCTTCTTCTTTCAAGTTCTTTTTCACTGTGTCTAATAATTCTGGAATATTACCTCTTAACTTAACCAAATTAAATCCTCCAGAAGAGAGAATTGACCTAACATCATAAATCATCTTTTTTCCGTAATTTATGTCATTAAATGACTTTACTAAATCATCAACGTAAACATTATTCTCTATTACATCTGATGCTTCAGGATGTGCTTCCTTATTCTCATTTGCAATTCTGTTCTTTATATATTGAGATGTGCAAGGTGCACACACTGTGCCAAAAACCATAACTTGCATCTCATAATGTTCGATCTCTTGTGTGATTTTATTTATGAATAAAAATCTTAAGGCTGGACGATCTTCAGGTATTATGTCCACTTGGTGAAACATCTCTGAGATGTCTGCTTTTACGAAATATTTTCCCTCCCTTAGTTGCATTAATAGATTAACTAAGTCTGTATACAAGTTTGGACCCGGTAATAGGTAATCGTTTAGGGATTTATTCTGAACTTTTGCTGCAGCATCCCAAACAAGTCTTATTCTCTTCCCTTTTTGTTCTGAAATAAAGATGGGTAGATAGAATGTTTTCGGGGGAGGGTTAATCATATCTAGAGATGTCAATTTTCTAGCATATCCTTTTTGTATAAGGTTCTCAACTTGTTCAGTTATTTCGTTGAGTTTATTCAGCCTTTTCGCATGTTTTATGAGAATTTTAAGTCGACGTTCAGCTATTCTTAGCGAATTTTCTGTAGGTAATTGTGGATTATGGATCCGCCATAGAAGCGGTACCTGAAACTTTTGTTTCTCTTTCATGTAGATAGTTTTCTGCTTTAGAAGGTTCAACGCTATCTCTTCTTCTGCAATATTCCTATCATTTTCGTATGGTAATTTATATTCGATTCCCATTACTCGATCCTGCATTTTCATTAGTTCACTCTCTTCATCATCACTTATTTCATGAGTGCACTGAGACTGCTGGGAGTTTTGTTCGTAGAGATGGTTATATAGTTTTGGAAGAGGCAAAGTACTTCCTAGTAGACAGTAGCCTAGAGGAGTAAGGATAGCTGTTGGGGATTCATCAACATTTTTATGAGAATCTATCCAATCTAATTGCCTATGAAACCATTTCTGATCAGTTCCTATTATCCCGATAATGTTGTTGTAGGAAACGATTGATGTCTCTCTTAAATGTGGAAATTTCACTTTTAATTCCTCTGCGTTTAGAACTTGTTTCGGCATTCTTAAATTTCTCACAGTCCTAAAATAGACGTCATAGCTTTTAGCTCCTTTAAAAAATCCTTGAGCTTTTGCTCTAACTATTTTTGATTTTTGTTCGATTCTTGTAGTGCCTCCGCTCCACTTTAATTCTAATCTTTTGTTTGGACCGTCAAGTCCTAAATATTCTGCGTATTCCTCGTCGATCAAGCTAGCTGTACTCCCTGTATCAAGAAGTATCCCACATTTCACTGCCTTCTGACCGTTGCTGAGCTTTAAACAAACTACCGAGAATAAGTTCCTTGATGTGTAATGTGTTTGACTCATTGATGCATTTGTATCGTTCTTTTTATTTGAGTTTACTTCGACGATCGTCCATTGTGGCTCGGTTTCGTCTTCACTTCCTTCAATATTCAATTCGAGTGTATCTAAAATATCTTCAGATGTTCTTTCTTTATTTTTATTAGTGGTATTCGAAGTAGATGGTTTTCCGCTCTTGGAAGCATTCTTATTTCTCAGTTCTTTATGGGTATGTTGTTGATGAGATCCTGAATCCTCATCCTTTTTTTTGTTTTGATAACTATTCTTTTCATAATTGTTACGCTTGTAATTAGGGTCGTAATTTTGACTTCTTCCTTTATATCCTTGGTTAGACGTTTGCGAATTTCGTTTGTAACAAAAAATAGCAGCGTGATACATGTAGCAGTTAGGAATGTAACATTTATTACTTGCTCTGTATGGACAAATTTTATGATACTTTCTGCTGCAAATTAAACAGATTCCTCGTTCTCTTGCTATTTTTGCAACCTCAAACCCTGATTTCCTTAATAAAGCGTAGCATACTAAGGAGCTGTGTCCTGTACAGTTGTGATACCAACAGTAATTATTATTTAAGTCTTTTGTAGTTGACTCTTCTCCTTTAAAGGAATCTTTTTCATCCCTTTGAGAAAATGCAAAATGATCCGATGATCTAATTTTATCTTTCTTTTTGGGATCTCCTTGTTTATGATCTCTGTTTTTAAACTTTGGCTGACCTTCGACTTCCGCATCTATCATTAGAATATTTTCAATTTCATCTATCTGCTTATCTAACCAGTTTGAAAGGTCACTGATTAAGACATCTTCGGCTTCAGTTTTGAGCTTTGTGAATTCTTTCATCCATCCATTAAATAATTTCTCGGGAAGAAGTTTAGTTAAACTTAATACCAAGTTAAAATCGGATTTGTTCTGATGGTTACCTATGTCCTCAACCATTGTGGCATACTTTTTAATTTCACCGATAAACCTTATGGTTTCCTTTCTTTGGTTGTTGTCTAATTTCTTTTGTTCTAGCAACTTATGTTTCTCATTTAACAGCATTTTTGTTGGATTACCGATTCTTTTATTTATATATTCAAGTGCTTTTTCGTACGAATCTAAAGAAAATAAATTAAATCCTCCTATTTGCTTTATTTCGTTACTAAGAATCGCTTCTTGCAATCGACTGACATTTTCTTGGGGTGAGAAAAGGATTTTAGTTTCTAAAAATGTTTTATAAAAGACTTTCCATTCGTAATTTGCATTTTTAACTTTAGGGAGGGCTCTATATGCATTCTTCTTACTTTCTGCTATCTGATTTTCGGCTAGTATAATGAGTGCACTATCATTATTATTTACTTCATTTTTAAATCCGTGGTCGCTCCTACGTCGACCTATCTCAGCTTCCTCATCCAGTATTTCATCTAGATCATGTGCTGTCGACTCTGACCTAGCTAGACGGTTAATTTCGGATTTTCGAATGTTGGCTCTTACATTTTTATTTGACGTATTGGGTTCAAAAGATTCATTTTCTGATCTAGAAGGTTGTTTGTAGTTTTGATTAAGATTAGATTGCTGATTATTTTGGCTGAGTAATAAGGCAAAATTTGAAAACATTGTTTGCATCATTTGATTCTGTTGCTCTTGAAATGCTTTAAACATTTCTACGATATTTTGAGTATTTCCTTCATTGACATTTTTAGGAGCATTGCATTGGTCGGTTGAATACTTATTTGAGTTAGACTCTATTTGAGCACGAGGCTCTTGAGCTGAGGTTCGTGCATTTCCTGGAAATATTGAAATGCGTCTGGGTTCAAAATAATTATCATCTATTCTCATGTTTGCATATGTATCTGCTTGTAGAGCACTTTTCTCCTTTAATACCTCCTGATCTTCACCATCATAATTAAACAAGGATACATGTTGAGCCCATTTTATCAGACATTTACCGCAACACCAAGACCCTTCGATGTGGTTCATCCTGTCGTCTCCATTAATGCACTCGTCGTGACAATAAACTCTACAGCAATAGCAGAAGAAGAAGGCTCCTTCGATTCTTTTCGAGCATTGTGCACAGCTTTTTGATAAACAACCTGGTGGGTTATTAGATCCTGGACGATTTGGCATGCGCTTAGCTGATTTCTTTATCGTGTTTTGAGGTGGCTGCATTTCTTTGCGCCCATTATTTCCAATCTCATCTTCGTTCAGACCATCATCATTATCTCCGTCCTCTGACTCACTTTCTTCTTCTTGCTCATCTCCAATATCGTTGCTGGTCGATTGTCCTGGTGGAATCGATACAACAGATGATTCAAGAAGTGATATAATTTGTTGAGATAGCTGTAGGACTTGTTCATGATTCAAATTTTCTTTCCTATTGACTTTATCACTTTTTTTTGACTTTTTATTATCGGTGTAAGTGGTCGGTTTAGGGAAAGTATTTGATGGAGCAACGGGAAGAGGGGGTTCAGTAAGTTGGGCATTTTTACGACGTTTTTTGTCGTGATTTTTACAATAAAACTTTCCATCAGTATGCAAAACGTCATTGTCTCTTTCACAAATCGTATGAATACAAGTGTTACATTTCTGACATTTAATAATTTCTTTTTCACCTTTATTTATAGGGAATTCACATATCTGGCATGTTTTACCCATCCTTAGTAAATTTTATTTATCAATCTATCTGAAATTATAACGGTTGGCAAGTAATATTCAAATTGACAAGAACGTTCTGGAATTTTGCTCTAAAGCGATTTATTTTATTTATGTGTGTTCGTATATGAACGAGATAAAATATTCTAGTCCAATTTAGACGAATTTTGGTTGTGTTAGTGTTTTAGTAAACAACTATGGCGTAATTTTTCTTGAGTTTAATTAATTAATTTTGAGACGAGAATCCCGAGTTTTTTTCACTTTCGTGAATTATTTTAAATTCTTTAACTTCCACTTATGTGGGTATTAAATTTTGTGATTTCTTTCCCTTATGGGAATTTCTTTATTTTTTTGATTAATTAATATTGACCAGAAAAATATTATTTGAATGTTTTGTTAGTGGGGCTGTATATTAGCCCTTTTTGAATTTTTGTCAACGCTCACCTCTACTTGAGTCTGTGGAATTAAGGATCCCTATGAGTGGCAAGGAATATATTTATGTCTGTGGAACAAAATGGCGATCTCTACAGGCAAAGACCTCTTTATCCTCTATCCAACTGGATTCAAATCTATTTTAAATTTTATTCACATTAATGACTTCTTTATCTTCACTATTTAATTTACTTACAATATTTTTGGCAAGCACTAACTTATTTAAAATATCTATTTTATTATAATTATTTGTGTGACCTTTTTTGCTGACCGTACTCAACTGACCCTCGGGTTTTTGAAGTCTCTTCAATATGGCTAAGATTCCGCCAATTTTTTCGGTCCAACGAATTGAAGTTGACTGTTGATTCTTCCTATTCAAATCTCTAGTGACTGTTATCTGTGAAATTAAATTCCTTCGCTTTTTACGCGACACATGACAAAAAATTTGTTTAACATGATTTCAAAGAAACAGTGAATTTATGAAGCAACCAAATGCAAAAGTAGCTACTATTTAATATTTTCGACTACAAATCTGCCAGAACTTCACAGAAGTTGCTCAAACTGACAAAGCAATTTGTGCGAACGCTCTTAAATCAATAAAACATGACAAAGAATTTGTTTAACATGATTTCAAAGTAACAGTGAATTTTTGAAGTAACCTTGTGCAAAAGTAGCTACTTTTTAACATTTTCGACTATAAATCTGCCAAACGCTCTGTGCGAACGCTCTTAAATCAATAAAACATGACAAAAAATTTGTTTAACATGATTTCAAAGAAACAGTGAATTTATGATGCAACCTTGTGCAAAAGTAGCTACTATTTAACATTTTCGACTACAAATCTGCCAGAACTTTACAGAAATTGCTCAAACTGACAAAGCAATTTGTGCGAACGCTCTTAAATCAATAAAACATGACAAAAAATTTGTTTAACATGATTTCAAAGAAACAGTGAATTTATGATGCAACCTTGTGCAAAAGTAGCTACTATTTAACATTTTCGACTACAAATCTGCCAGAACTTTACAGAAATTGCTCAAACTGACAAAGCAATTTGTGCGAACGCTCTTAAATCAATAAAACATGACAAAAAATTTGTTTAACATGATTTCAAAGAAACAGTGAATTTTTGAAGTAACCTTGTGCAAAAGTAGCTACTATTTAACATTTTCGACTATAAATCTGCCAGAACTTTACAGAAATTGCTCAAACTGACAAAGCAATTTGTGCGAACGCTCTTAAATCAATAAAACATGACAAAAAATTTGTTTAACATGATTTCAAAGAAACAGTGAATTTATGAAGCAACCTTGTGCAAAAGTAGCTACTATTTAACATTTTCGACTATAAATCTGCCAGAACTTTACAGAAATTGCTCAAACTGACAACACAATTTGTGCGAACGCTCTTAAATCAATAAACCATGACAAAAAATTTGTTTAACATGATTTCAAAGAAACAGTGAATTTTTGAAGTAACCTTGTGCAAAAGTAGCTACTATTTAACATTTTCGACTATAAATCTGCCAGAACTTTACAGAAATTGCTCAAACTGACAAAGCAATTTGTGCAAACGCTCTTAAATCAATAAACCATGACAAAAAATTTGTTTAACATGATTTCAAAGTAACAGTGAATTTTTGATGTAACCTTGTGCAAAAGTAGCTACTATTTAAAATTTTCGACTACAAATCTGCCAGAACTTTACAGAAATTGCTCAAACTGACAAAGCAATTTGTGCGAACGCTCTTAAATCAATAAAACATGACAAAAAATTTGTTTAACATGATTTCAAAGAAACAGTGAATTTTTGAAGTAACCTTGTGCAAAAGTAGCTACTATTTAACATTTTCGACTAAAAATCTGCCAGAACTTTACAGAAATTGCTCAAACTGACAAAGCAATTTGTGCGAACGCTCTTAAATCAATAAAACATGACAAAAAATTTGTTTAACATGATTTCAAAGAAACAGTGAATTTATGATGCAACCTTGTGCAAAAGTAGCTACTATTTAACATTTTCGACTACAGATCTGCCAGAACTTTACAGAAATTGCTCAAACTGACAAAGCAATTTGTGCGAACGCTCTTAAATCAATAAAACATACAGTTGCAAACTAGATCTCAACGTGAACAGACGTGTTTACAAATAGCTCCGCAAATTATTCAAAAATCTCAAAAGAAACAAAACAGAGACTACCTGAGAAGCTTTTTGTTTGCAAAAAGTTTCAAAATCTCAGTTTGATTCTCAAAACATCAAAATGGTAGCATCACCAAAAACTACCAACAACGAAGAAAATCTTTCTCAAAATCAGCATGGACTTAATAGTTCTCAACAACAACATTCATCTTCAGTGACAATTCTCAATATTGAGGAAATTTTCAGTGAAGATGTTTCACAAGCAGCCGACATTGAGATGACAAATCTCAAACCAAAAAAACAAATATCAATAAAGAAGTTTCTCAATGAAGCAAGTAAAGCAGAAAAACGCCCTCGAGAAGTGATAGTTCCCAACGCTCTTTTAAAAAGAGTAGCAAACGAAAGCAAACCAAAAGATGGGAACAAACCACTGTTCGTACTCCCACCAGTGAAGAAAGCTTCGTCTTCTGGAGTACCGTATCTATTTGGTTCACCAGAACAGGAGAAAAAAGATCGACAACTTCTTCGTACTGGGGAGAAAACAGCAAAACATCAGAGCAACTAAAGACAATTTCCGTAAACACGGAAAGCAACAACAACAAATCTCAACAAAAATCAAAACCACCTCCAATTGTCATCAGCACAGGAGGAGCTGGTGAAATCAAGAGATTGACGAATGAAATAAACAATCAACCTGGAAGTTTCTTAATTGAGACCAAAAAGGGCAAACAAGGAACAAAAACGGTAACAACGGAGAGTTGGGATTACTACGAGAAATTCATCCAACTACTCAAAGACAAAAAGCATCACTTCCACACATACTCCAGCCAAGAACCACTGAAGAAGTACGTACTCTATGGACTCCCAGATATGGAAATCAGTGAGTTGGAGAAGGAACTTCAAACCGTAAAAATCACACCAGTAAAAATTGTCAAAATGACAATGAAACACAAAAGACACGAACAAGACGACGACCAGAACTACCTCGTGTACTTCAAAAAAGATGTAGAACAAGGTGGAAATTTCCTGGAATTCCTCAGAAAAATCAAAATTGTCAGCAGTTTCAAAATTAAATGGGCTGACTACAAAAATAGACAAGCTGGACCATCTCAATGTTCGAAATGTCTGCAGTTTGGTCATGGGCAAAACGGTTGTAACAAACCGTCCGTTTGCTTCAGATGCTCTGAGCAACATGACTCGAAAACGTGCCAGTACATATCGAAAGAGACCAACAAGGTTCCGCTCGGAAAACTCAAATGTTTCTTCTGCGGTGAAAAACATACAGCAATTTTCACAGGTTGTAAAACCAGACAAGAAATAATTGAAAAATGGAAATCAAAATCACAGAATGGAAACAACCAAAATCAAAACAAAACAGCAGGCCATTATTCATATGGACAACGGAGAAACAATCCTCCAACACCGCATCGTCCTGAGAGATCAACCAGAAACGTCCAACATGCACCAAAACCTCAATGGAGAAAGGAGTATATGGAACCATCAACATCTGGTACACAAAAGCCTGTTCATCAAAAACAAGTTCCAGTCAACCACAAACCAAGGAACACAAATCCTCCTCCAAATCACAAACCCTCAAATCAGGGAAATAAAAATAACTTGAACAACCAACAAAACAATAAAGAAAGAGGAAAACATTGGAAAAAGAATCAAAGAAAAAAGCAAAACGAGCGCATTAATAACAATCAACATCAAAAACCAAAGCAAGATGTTGAGCTTATGGACTCAGAAGACATCAGTGCAACAAGTCAGACCTCGAATGAAGTCTTCCCAGAACCGTCATTCAGTGTTGAGGTAGTGAATCGAAACATAACAACTAATCAACAAGCTCAAAGCACCAGCACAAGAGATAAAAACATCTCAGAAATAGAGGAATCAAAGTGCAAGTACCTTATCAGCGAGCTTCTCAAATTAATCGCCAAAAATCCAGAGTTCATCGACGAAATACTCCAAGCAATCGGCTCAAGTGCCAAAAACACCGCATACAATAATGGATTGTAGACAACAAAGTATCAACGTCCTCTGCTGGAATGCTAACGGCCTCACTGACAAAATGTTAGCAATTCTCGACTACCTAAGCAAGCAAAACGTCGATGTTGCTTGCATCTCAGAAACATTCCTAAAACCAAACTCAAAAATTGACTCGCATCCAGACTACGTAATTCATCGATTGGATCGCGTGGATAGACCAAAGGGTGGTGTTGCAATCATCGTCAAAAGAAATCTAAAACATCAGCTTCAACCAAGCTACAACACAAAACTAATGGAATGCATTGGAATCAAAGTCTTCATCAATGACACGGATAGTTGTCACATCCTCTCAGTCTATCTCCCAGGAGGAAGCAAAGGAGGGGAAATAGATCAACATCTGAGAGATGACATCAACAAAATAACAAATCTGAGAGGAAATTACT